ATATTAGCAAATGAAATTGCTGGGTAGAAGCAGTGTCAAATCCAATGTTCTTCTGAATAAATGCAACAGCACCATGCAGAGCAAATCTGATCAATTCCTGTTGTAAATCATAAGGTAGACACCATAAATCACACCACAGCAGTGGTTCAGCAGTATTATGATAGGAAGTCTAAAGGGACACAGATTTGCAGATTTGCCATGTACTTGGATGAACAACATTCAATAAGAATGTAATCATACGCTTTTGTTTGGATCAAGAGGCAAATGAAAATGAAACCAGTTTTATAAATTAGTTAAGTGTGGAAATAAATACCAGTACACACACAATAAAAAGTTCTGACTTCACTCACCCGGGGGGAGCTGGATGTTATGTATACTGGGCTGTCCTGGGGAGGTCTGGGGGACCCTTGGGGCCAACATCTGAGGCGTCAGAGCTCGGATCCCGCCTGGACCGGCAGCCACCGTGGCCGGAGTCCGGGGAGCGCTGACGGCGCCAGGAGTGACAGTCGGCTGCGATGCTGACTGTATTATTGTTGTGGGTGGCTCTGCCTTGATAATGTGCGACCTTGCGCTGACAGACACCGAGTTGGACGGCTGGCCATTGTTTACAAGCGGAGTTTGTATGCTGATACCTGACTGCCCTGTTGTATTGGCAACCACAGCAGGGCTCGTATTATTGTTCCCATTCAAAGTTGCACCCAGCCCCGCGGTTTGCATAGGCGGCCTGACGAGTGTCACAGTGTGTCCTGTTGGCTGGCTCACGGGCTGAGCTGAAGCGACAACACTCTGCGAGTTCATGAGATGCGTCTGGATTACACTGTTTGACGAGGGGGGCATTATCGCACTGGCCAGCCCTTTAGACAACACTGGTCCACTGTTGACAGCTGCGACAGATACCGCAGGAACGCTGCTGTTACCCGTGCCACTTGTCACTGTCGTCCCCCCGAGAAGGGCAGCGCTTCCTGAATTGTGAGAGTTCATAGTTTGGCTCCCATTGAAAGTCTGCACTGAGTATGAGCCTACTTTCCGCAGGTGATTAGGGAGAGAAGTTGCACCGTCACTAACAACAAGTGTTTTGCCAGGGTCGTGTCCCGGAGAGGAGTCCGTGCTGGCCGTCGATGCGTCCATAGTTGAACCATGGGGACCTCGCTATGATGAGACCCCCTGCACTTCAACTTGTTTAGACGGAGTACAAACAATCTTGAATGTGATGGGGCGAGACTCTGACACTAAATTCCTCTGACAGCTCCTGTGCTTGGTTTTCGTGTATACTCTTTTTGAGACAAAGAGGAAAACAACATAAGTAGTTACAGCGTACCTGCTTTAGCAATCGTCTTGACCAAGTCCCAGCTGGACATTAGCTCTCGCTACCCCCTTGTCCCGGAACTATAGCCATGTAATTACCGGCTGCTTCGTGCCTACCCCAGTGGTTGTTGTGACAAAAGACCGATAGTTGTGACTCTACAGACCGGACAGGAGGACAAACTACCGCTTTATTCACCTCTGTGTGTAAAAACAGCTCATCCAGCGGGCCCGGGCGAACCGCCATCTTCACACTCCTGTGTGCTTGTGAGAAGTGAGGTACTTACCAACTGACATGCGCGTGCGCACAACAAGTAAACGTCTCCGTGCGGGGACTTCGGCGAGCTGTGATTGGCTGTTCCACATTGTAAAAGGCGGTACCAATGGCTTCAGCTGTCATTCCAGGGGATGCACGAGACGGAACAACATCGTACCGGAGACGAAATGTTTCCATCAAATGTTTCACCGTCGCCGGTGTGTTCACGCTGTCCCATTAATTATCCCGTCTCAGAATCGTACCGAGTGACTTTTGGTCGAATAATAACGGGGTTTACAACAAGCTAACAAACCAGATTTCAGAGTTTAGTCGGTCCCGATGCGCCGTGCAAGATGGCTGCACTGTTTTGGCCAGCTAGTGAAGTTGCTGTTGTAAAAGAGGCGTTTGAGGACGCCCCACCCTTCTCTAGAGAGGAAATATTGTAATGTGCTGTCAGACAGTAACGGGATGTAGTGCGGTCAAACTCCTTCGTGTCTTGACTGAAAATTTTTTAAGTTTTCTTTTGCTTTCATTTAAATGTGTTGAAGTATAAATCCAAGTGTGCAGTATGTAATTTATTCAAATTACAAATTTACCGTCCATAGAGGCTGTTAAAAAGCAAAAGTGCCATCAGTAGCTGCTGAATGAGGTGCACACTTGTACTCTTGATTTAAGAATATAAGCCACTTTCTGCAGATCGCTTCATGATCTGACATATTTGAGGCTATCTTGCTCACACAGCATGTTAAAGATCTACCCACTGATTTTCAGGGTGACTATAAGGGCTGTTCCACTTCAGCTTTCACTTTTTAGTTGAGGTCTGCTTTGAATGATTGTCCTGTTGTAGAAACCAGTCTCTTTTGGTTTCATTTTCTTCACTGACTATAAGACATTTTTATCCAGAAATTGTTGATATTCGGTAGAATCCATTCCTCCCTGTGTCCATGTAGTGTTTCCTGTGCCACCTGCTGCCACACAACCCCAAAGTAGAATATTTCCACCCCACATCCTTAATAGTTGGCAACCTGCTCTTTTCATCATGCTTTGGCCATACTCACCCTCACCAATTTTACCTTTACCTTTAATGTGCCCCTTAAGAGAACAAACCCCCACTTCAAGTCCTTCATTCTTTCTGCTATCAGGCTACTAAATGCTGTTATTTCTCATTTCAAATGATATATGTAAAGTAACATTTTTTAATTCAGTCATTTATGTATTCATATTATTTATTTACTATAGAAACTGTTATTTTAATCTATTTTACTTGTTTTATTCCTTTTCTCATTTTACTTATTGCTGCTTGTTGTTCCTTGTATTGACCAAAGTATGCTGATCTGTTGCCTCTGATATATAACTACTTTGCCTGTGAGTTTTTAAGTTGTGTGTATGGACTGGGTAAGCTGCAAAGGAATTCCCCTTCTTGGGATAAATAAAGTTGTCTGAATCTGAATCTGTCCACAGAACTTGTTTAAATCACTCTGGCTTATCCAGATGTTGCTTTGTAGACTTCAGACACTAACTTCCTGATGAGGCTGAAGGTAACAGCTGTGTCAGCGTTTGCTGTGTCTGAGGTGTCTGAGTCGTATTTCCATATTGACAAGACCATGATGATCTTATTCTACTGTGGTTTTGTTGAATCGATTTTTATCTTTTTCTGTGGCGTCATGGTTTGGAAATCTGTCTTTAAAGAGCAGGAATTTTCTCAACCAAATTGTTAAATGGTCCAGTTAACTTCTTCCTTCTGGAAAAAGGTTCACAGTCCCAAAGTGCAGAACAAAACGGTTTAAAGAGAGCTCTGTTCCAGCAGCCATCACTCATGAGTTGTAGTGACACTGCATAGATGCAATGTTTTAATTTATTTTTTTGTTTATGTATCTTTATTTACCCTGTGCATGTGGAGTTGTCTGCACTGTCTGTTAAATGTGTATGTGTAAGATTGATTACTCTTTTACTGCAAACCAAATTTACCTACAGATATAAATAAAGTAACCTACCTACCTACCTGTGCGAATCCTTGACCTGCAGTATAGGCTACAGGTGCAAACCAGTCAATGAAAGCCTAAGTCTGAGTCTGAGTCTGAGAGCAATCAAATTTTTCTAGCTATTATTGAAATTTTAGCAGTTCAAGTCCATTGAAAAACCTTTAATAGTGCAAAGGTAAGTTGTAGGTAAACAAAAAACAACAACAAAACCATATAAATTTCATAGAAAACAGGCCTTTTTCAGGGCTCAAGTAATTGGTTAACTCATAGTTTTTTATGCGGCAATGGAAGTGAATGAAGCCTTGGACGTTAATGCAAATAATTCCTACAGGTGTCCCAAACATCTGCTGATGACTTACAAACCCTCTGTCTGTGCAAAGGTTGCATTGTCAAAGTGTGTTACTACACCTCTAATGTATTAGGACAAGACTGTACTGCAGGAAGTAGTGCTGTATATTGCTATCACACAAAATGGTGAGAAAAGAAAGACAGGCAGGTTGGTCAAGATAATGAGCCAAAACATACAAAACATATACGATGAGAGACTAGCAGACTTAAACTCCAGACTTAAACCATGGAGCTGGTTTGGCATGAACTGGACAGAAGGTGAAAGCAAGACAAACGACAAGTGCAGCACATTCATGGGAACCTCAACGACAATGTATTATAAAGAGTACGGTCTAGACCTGCTCTAAAGGTGCCTTGTTAGAACTTCTGTTGTGATTTGGCGCTATATAAATAAAAATTGATTTCACTTGACTTGAACAGTGTTGCAACAAACTTTCTGAACAATATTTGATGCATTGTAGAATCATAAGTGTACTCAGCTGCTGAATTAGTCAAAAATGTAGTTTAGCAAGTAGATTCCATGACTCCTTGTTTTTAAATCTCCACCTGCTTATTTGATCTATGCTTCAATTTCAGAAAACACTGAGACACTGAATTGTGTAAATTTAAATAACAAATGGAAAAGCTTAGGTGTCCTAAAACTTTTGTTCAGTAATGTATCAGCAATTAGAATATTATCTCCATCTCTATGTAGCCTATATGTGTATATGTAGCACAATATAGGCTTATAATGGTTTATTTTCCATTTTCTCAATAAACGTTACATTTCTCTATTCATTTTGCATTAAGGTTAAGTGGGACAACTAGCCTAAACAGGAGGGTAGTTTGCCACCACAGAGCGCCAGTTCCTGTCTGTGTCTGATGTTACCTAGGCTACAGACTCCACAGACTATTTGGCTCCAGCAGGTGTACGCCGGCTGGCTAAAGAAGCTCACCGTACTTTCCACGCAGGTGACCCAGCAGCCACTAGGAGCGTCATTGCCAACGTTATAAAGCGCACAGGTGGTGGCTGATTGTGTACATTGCTGATAAGACGTGATGAAATGTTTGCTGCGGTTTAATACTCTGTGATTTAGCTGCTACTTCTCCGTTTGACGAGGTTCACCGCAGGCATGAGTGGAGGATCAGGAACCCCTTACATCGGCAGTAAAATAAGTTTGATTTCCAAGGCACAGATTCGTTATGAGGGAATATTGTCCTCTGTCGACACAGACAGGTCCACGGTTGCTTTAGCCAAAGGTAAGTTGATCATTTGCAAGATGTTGAACACACTTGTGTTTTTTTTCTTTCTCTTTATCAAACTAATTCTTATACATTAAGTTGTCAATTAAGAATGCTGAAGATTAAACTAAACCTCACTTTTCAATTATCTTCATTACAGTTAAATCCTATGGGACAGAGGACCGACACACTGATAGACCAGTGCCACCAAAAGATGAAATTTATGAATACATAATTTTCAGAGGAAGTGACATCAAGGATATCACTGTGTCAGAACCACCAAAACCACACCATGGTCTGCCTCGTGACCCTGCTATTGTGCAGGTGTGTGGCTCAGGGAGATGTGTCTGACTTTGTAATTTCCACTGTGGCATAAAACAAAATGTCATATTACTCTCAAACTTGTTTTGTCCTGATTGTTGCGATTTTCAGTCATCCATTGGCAGCTCCTCTGCTGCATATCACCCACGATGGAGTCCATACAGGGACATGATGCCCACCTACAACCAGCTGGCAGCTAGCTCTCTACTCAACCAGCAGTACAATGCAGCACTGGGCCTAGGTACAGTAAATGACATCTTGGACACATCAGACATGTCGGTGACGATATATCCAGCTCCACCATGTTTGTTCCTTTGCTCTCAGTACCAGGACTTCATGGCATCCCAGCCAGAAGGGCCCCCATGGTCGAGCAGGCTGTCCAGACCATGCCACTGGCCGGTGCTGCCCAGAGAAGGGGAAAGACATCAACCCAGCCGCAGAGCAGACAGCCTGTCCGCCCGACCCAGCGCTCGGGCCGGGATGGTTCCCAGTTTCAGAAGGAGAATGTACCCACCAGTAAGCAGACTTCACAGTGGCTCTTAACATTCATAGGCTTTAATTTCTTGCATTCCTTTTTAAACTGAAATAAGAAACATCTTCAACATATAATTAATTCAGGTTTAGATCGGGCGTCATCTCAGCCAACTGCAGTCAAGATTCAAAGTCAGAGTACTGAGAACCAGAAGCAAAGGCAAAAACAAGGTATCAAAATGAAAAATGCACATTATAAGCTATTTGTTAGTGACAGAAAAGCAATATTTGTTTTGTCTTGACTGTTTGTCGGAATGTTGTCTGCAAGAAACGGATTAAAAAAGTAAATATCTTAGGGTTAGGGTTGAACATGTTCTAAACAGATTTGGCTGAACTGTTCTTTTACCGCTGGTCACGTGCAGGCGGTCGCAGGTCCAGGAACCGAAGCAGAGGCCAACTTCTCGTGAAAAACTCAAAGGCTACAACTTTGCAGTTTGAGTCAGATTTTGATTTTGAAACTGCAAACGCTCAGTTTAAAGATGACCTTACAAAGGAGGTTGTAGGTATGTTTATATCGGTCCCCTCAGTTTCAGTGGGCACAATATATAAAACAGTTTTTAGACGTACATATATGTATGTGTTCTTTTCTTTTGTGAAATGCTGCAGTTGAAAAAGTGGATTCTGCAGAGGCGCCAGAGAGTCAGGGTATGGAGGAGGAGGAGGAAACTGTCGGTGATAAGTACTATGACAAAGCCAAATGCTTCTTTGACAACATCTCATCGGACCTTAAGCCCAGGTGATTATGTAATCTTTCCTATTCCTTTTTGTCTAACCTCAGGAGAGTCCCATGCTCTGCAATATATATGCTTTTTATTGTGTGTTTGTGTCCTCAGGAGAACCACGTGGGCAGAGGAGAAAAAGTTGAACATGGAAACATTTGGAGTGCCTGGTCGCTTCCTGAGAGGCCGAGGATTCAGAGGCCGGGGACACAGAGGGCAGAGCACCGCTGAGCAGCGACCCCTCCCAAAAGTTGGTAGTGGGAGGGTTTGAAGGCTTTTCTTTCCGTTTGTCTTTTTGTTACCATTTTCTGTAAATAATGAATATTGTAGTTTTCTACTAATTTAAAAAGGTTCCTCCCTATTTTCCCATGTTTTGAAGCACATGAAGCAAAAAATTTTTCCCATTATCCCAAATCGATTTTGGACCCTTATATGAAATGGGAGAGCAATTTATTTTTAATCCAGCAGCTGTGCACTAAAAGCAAATATATTCATTGGTAGTTTGGAAGCATGCAATGTGGAAAGTGTCACTTGAACAGGCCAGCAAGCATGCATTTTTTTTTTTTTCTTTTTTTTTTCCCTTTTTGTTAACTGTCTGAAATGTATTAAATATTTCTAGCCTACTTGACTGTACAAATGTAACTGCAAATTTGTCTTGGAGGACTGTCTTAAAGTTGACAGACAGCTGTACTTTCTTTTTTTTTTTTTTTTTTTTTTTTTTTTTTTCTTTTTTTTTTTCTTTTGTAAAATGAAAACTGGGGAAACGTAACAGTTGCTATTAAATAATGTGATAAACACACTGATTTTCCTCTGGTTCTATAAATTCTCATTGAGAAGAGAAACTATTTAACATGTTGCACCCAGAGATTATTATAACAAACATAACAACAACCTAAAAACCCAGCTCACAAAAAAAACAGACTGGCTAAAGGGCATGTGTTCAGTTTTGTATATGTGGTGGCTTGCAAATGGAAGCCAGTTGCCTGAATTTGGGGCCCAAGTATTCTAGTGTTTTCTGGAGTGAATCCTCATCAGGAACGGTGATGCTCTCCAGCTCTGAGAGGTGATCCGAGTCCCCCTCCTCTGCGTACAGGTGAGGCTCATAGTCCAGCAGCTCATCCTCTGTCTTCTGGAGGGAGGAGAGCCTCTGCAGACGATGGAAAATATCAAAGTCAAACTAAATGCAGTGCTTATTTTACTGCGACGGGCTCACGCACGTGTTTACGAGTAGACAAGTCACAGCACTGCTTTTATAAGTATACAGAAAACTGTATGTGCACTACCAACCCGATGAAGCAGAGTGAGAAGAGTCACATCTGACGCATAGGTGGAGTTCCTTTTGTTGAGGAAATTCATTGTGCTCATGTCCTCAAACTGTACACAACAAAAAGTTCACAAAGATTAAGTTTCTTCAGCAGCAACTGCCTCAAAGACAAAATAAGCACAAACCAAACAACTGTCACGCTACCTGGTGTGTGTGTTGGAAGTCACTGGTCATAGAAGAACACCAGCTTGTCTAAGATTTGAGGAAAGCAGGAGCGGCGTCAATATTAAAGTAAATATTTGAATGTACAGTTGTGACTGATATCATTTGCCTTCAGTGGTGTACATTTACTTGGTTACAGTCAGTGAATTGGTAGGACTGATTTTCTCTTCTGTAACCCCCTCCTCCTCTTAAGTGTTGCTCCACATCCTGTTGAACAGAATGACAGGAGCTACTGAGATGGGCAGCTGAGTTAAAGTACAACAAATTCACACACTCCTATACCAGCAGTCTGACATTTTTACAGACAAGGTTTTCATCAAATTACATTTGAGAAAACTTGTAGGAGACCAACATGCTATTCCACAAAAAAATCAGAGCAATGTGACACAGATCTACCTCGATCTTTACATTTTAACCAGTGACCATTTGTCCATATTAATTCCATTGTACCCACCTCATTTGAAAAGATTGTGCGTTGCATCCCATCATGCATAGTTTGCCAGTGAGATGGATCAGGGTGCTTCTTGTCAGTGGACACTGCCAGGACACCGTCAGGCACCTTAGAAAAATAAAATAAAACTGATAGTAATGTTTGTATGAAAACATGTCAGTGGTTTGTAAAGGTTTCTGAGCAGTGACCTTGCAGTCTGTTCCTGGTTTCTCAGTGTTTGATATGAGGAGGGTTTCTCCAGATGAATCCGTCTGCACCGCGGTGAACTGTTTTTTGCAGGAGATGGTGACAGCCATCAGCAGCAGAACTGTCAATGAGATAGAGATGACAAAAATTGAACATGCAGTGAGTTGTCAGAATTGGAACATGCAGTGATTCTAACAAAAGCCAGTGATGCAGCTTCTTACACAGGAGTAAGAACAGAGAGGCAAACACCACGCCTACAGCACCAGAGGTAGCTCTCGTGGCGCCCTCTCGGTGGGTTCGGCAGTTGGCCATTGCAGAGCAGTCACACACGGTCACACTGAGGTTGTAAACGCCATACTCCCCCTGCAGGTCAGAGATCTTCATATCAATTGTGTGTGGTCCGGCATACACACCGGGTTCCTTCACCAGACCAGCTGTGTAACCTGTGAGAGATAATCACAATTTCACAATTTTTCCTTTATTAATGTTTGCTATGATATTTAACTACACTGCGTAGGTTTCTCTACCATATGAGGGATTCAGTTTCCATTTTCCTTTGACATCTCCCAGCAGCTCAAATGTGAAAGGCCCTCCGAAGGGATTTTCATCCAGGTCAAAGGCTGTGATGTTGGTGGTAGTGGGGCTGTCGGACACACACACATCCATGTGTTGAACTGTTGGCTGCGGCACGTTGTCATTCTGGTCAGTCACATGGATTTGCAGTGTAGCTGTGCCTGTTTGAGGTGGATTCCCTGTCCAATTTTTTGCAGTGGAGAAATGAGTGAAACATTTACTCAGTCATGAGAGGATGATATAATCGGCTTTTGTCTTTGCGATCTGCAGTTCTCTGACTCTTACCATTATCCACCGCATGCAGTAAGATGGTGTAGACGCCATTAACAACATGAGGAGATTCTCTGTCCGGTGTTTTGACTGTTGTGATGTCGCCTGCGTGGGGGTCGACTGCCACCCAGCCAGCAGGATCACTTCCTATCTTGTACCTGTGGACGGATACAATGAAGAGGCCACTTGGGAGAAGATCCAAGATAAAATGTCAAAATAAATCATATATGTCAAAATAAACTTCCCACTTACACAAAATCTTTTGCGTGACTGGAGTCAGGATCAACCGCAGTCACTCTCTCTACCCAGGTTCCAATGGGTGCGTTCTCCTCCAGCATGGCCTCTTTGACAGTCACACTGAACACTGGGGGGTCATTGATGTCCTCTACTGTGATGATGACTTTCACAGAGTGAGGTTCAGCCACTTTACTGGTCCCTACTGTCCAGAGGCCTGAGGACGTCCTCTCCTTCACTTTGCAGAAGAAATATGGCGCCTCATTTTCAACAGAGATGGACAGTTCCCTCTGCACTCCCTCCTCAAAGTCTAAAGGCTGAAATTACACAGCAGTTATATTTAGTTGTTAATTTATCATATATGTATTACCATAAAATATTTTCTAATTCAATTAAGGCAGAGACATTTAAAAACATGAACTTCAAGTTGAGCAGATGCATGTAGTAAACATGTAGTAATTACATGTCAGACTACAGGTGGGTGTCATTGTAATGTGAAGCATGCAGCCAAACAGCACTTACTTTTACTACTGTCAGGATTCCATCGTTGGTATCTGAGTCTGTTTCAACCTTAAAGTGCTCCCCCTCGTCACCCTGTATGGTGAACCTGGCTCTCCACGCTGGGCTATTCAGGGTGTCTTTGTCGGTCGCATGCAGCCGCAGAGGAGAAGACCCAGTCTCGTCCTCCTTCACTCTGCCGGTGCCCTGGTGTTTGAATTGAACGTGCAGAGGTCAAGGACAAAATGTGAAATCTGTTGGTACTTTCTACTGCTCACATCAAGCATGTACTGCACACTGTGTTAACTGTGTTAACAATCATAGATTTTCCACCTACGATTACTTTGAGCTGATTATACTGTTGTTTATTCACTCATAGAGCTAATATAGCGGAATAAATGTGTGAACTTACCGGGAAAAACACTGACATAGTGTAGAAAATAACACAACAATAACATACTGTATATTGTGTATGATGATCACAACTTTGTTAGAAATTTGCACCACTACAGTATGACATCAGCTACGTCTGGTCCTCCATCATGTGGCCCTGGTCTTGTAGAGGGACCCTGTGTCCACATCTAGTTTTAAGACCATAACTGTTTTAGTTTATATTTTGCTATATTGTTGTAAAGTTGTGTTTCAAAAAAATTGCTTTACTTTTCTGTCTGTTAATCAACAGATAGAAAACCTCAGTTAATGCAGTATTATCTATTGTATGGCTATTTCCTTTAAAAATCAAATATTCACTATATGAAATGTCAGAAAATAGTTAAAAACAACTTATTAAAATATTCAAACATCTTTCAACAGTAAAAATGTAAGAAGTCGCCTTTACTATAATCAAAACTTATAATCAAAACTAGAAATACCAGCCAATATTCACATTTGAAAAGCTGGAAACAGTTGATATTTTGGGCATTTTTGTGATGAATTGTTACCAATAAGTTTAATAGTAATATCAGTTGACTAACTGATTTATCAGATTATCATTTCAGATGTGGAGAAACCACCATGTGTAATGTGGTGGGGGTCAACAGGGGCCCCGGGGCATGCTGGGAGGTTAACCTGGCCATGCCTACCGTTTGTCCGCTGATGATTGGGAGGTGGTTGTTGCCGTCCTGCACATGAATGATGACAGTGGTTGAACTTGACAGGCTGACTATTTCCCCATGGTCTTTGGCCTCCACCAGTATTGTGAACATTTCAGCCACCTTGATGTAATCAGTCGACATATTATTAGATCAGATCAATATAGGCCTTTCTATATACAGAACAGGTTACTGAGCCAGTCATATTGCTTTTGTTTCTTGTGTATCTTCATTGCAAAGTAGCTGGATCATTTTGCACAAAATCCATAAAGTGAGTTTTATTTATTACTGGTACTCCTATTTATTATAAATAAATCTATTAAATATCATGTAATTAGCAACAAATCCAGTGTCGGTGAGACAAATATACATACTAAATTAAATTACTTTTAAAAAATCTCTAGACTCACCCTGCAACTCCCTTAGTAATCTTAATTCACATATAATTAGACTAAAGTATGCTGTACATATTTGCATAAATACCACATGTCATGTGTTATATTCTCTGTCATGTGAAGAACTAACAGAACAGGAAATGCTGCTGTCATTACATTTACAGTGTGGATTTTCCTGACATGCAGTATCAAAAAAAGCTCTTGCCTCATGATCCAAACATCCTTTAAAGGAAATTGTTCCAAACTCATTAATGAAGAATTCAGTGTCTGGAGTGTTTGGAGACACAGATTTGATTTCATAGTGGAATGTGGAGTTTGGTGTCCCTGCCTCGTCTCTGTCATAGGCCACCACAGTCAGGAGATTGGAGCCTTTGGAGATTGGAGAATAATAAAGAAATAAGAAAGGAGCGCACTTTGTGAGAAAATTATTGTAAAAAAGAAGATGTGTATTTACTACAGCATATTCCTTACCTTGTGTGTTTTCCTCATCAATTCTGATTTCATACAGATCCATCTGAAAGCGCGGTGGGTTGTCGTTGATGTCTAGTATAGAAATCTCAATTCCTAATTTAGTTTCAATAGATAAATCTGCCTTTCTGGCCTCAAAGCTCAGCTGTGAATTGGAAGATATGACTCAAGGTTAGTCACAATATAAAGACAAAATGTAATTAAATTGTTGGACATTGTAATTGTGATATGAAATGGTGATAAACAACATTAAAATAAAATATATTGTACAGCTCCACTGGGTCTCCTTCCCATATTAACTCCAATTATAGACTCAGAAAATGACCTGGCGGTGTTTGCTGCATTTTCTGTTTCTTTGGTGTGTGTTTCTTCACTATTTTCTTTTTTAACTCAAGATGGCAATAGCAACAATATTCCACACATCCAACATGCATTATATCTTTGCATCGTGCCTTGATTCGGTTAGAGTCCCGACTTTTACTGTGAAGGAGCTGCAGACATAATTGAAATCATTTGATTGAATCAGTTATTTAGAGGACTGAGGACGAGCACTTTCCAATGTGTTTGTTGTGCAAACTCATGAAGTCCAACAACTACATGACAGACTTCGAACTGTGTATGGAGTATGTGTTGAGTCTAACCTTTAGCAACCTCTTCTCCTCATAGTCCACAGGCCTGTGGATAGACAAGATTCCAGACTCTTTATCAATGGAGAGGACTCCCTTTGGATCCTCATCCACTCCTTCCCCATAGAGATCAAAGTATACTCGATGGTCCCGCTCAATACTGATCTAGAACCCAGCATCAGACACTTCACAGTCAGTTTTTAGGAGTCTCAGACTTGGATTCATCATTTATAAATTTTCATGATTAAAAACTCATGATATAGGCTACACGTGGATCAAAGTGATGAAAATTGAAGAAAAGTATTGCAGGTGTCAAAATAAAGCTCATTGCAGACAGATAAAAACAGCTAGTGAAAGAATTGATTGTTTTAGATTGTCTATATTCATTATAATTAATAGATTTATCAAGTTGGTGTTTGAGTTTTCTGGTCAAACAATTTACTTATTGATGCAAAGTCGGACCAGATTCTTTGCTTGGTGGTTTTCTCACCGTGCCCAGCTCATACGGGAAGGGTCCTGGATGCCCCTCCTCGATTGTGAAGGAGTCAATTATCCAAGTCCTTCTGTGACGACTCAGCAGCTCTGAGCATGCTGCACTTGACAAATAATAAACCTGAAAGACGAACAGTCATAAGACAGCTGAAGTTCACAGTGTATACAAGGAGAGTTCAAGTATGTAAAGTAGGACTATTTGTTTGAGGCGAAAGGCAGGGGCTCATGATTTATGTCGTCAGTTCACTTGGGAATTAACTTGACTTATTGTCCTCAGTTGGTGAACCAGTTTTCTGTGAAGTGTACACATGGGGATTGTTTCAGAAACAACAGTATCACATCGTACTTTGCACCTTCTGTAATGACCATACAGAATATTTCCTTTTATTTCCTGTATGCATCAAAGAGGTCAGTTTTACACCAATTGATTTCTGACTTATTTATGTGCCGTGTGAAGACAACAATCTATACAGAAACATCAACTGCACAATATGTCCTTAAACTTAGAGAGCGGAAAAAATACACAAAAGTTTGTTTATAATAACAATCAAAACCTTGCAATCTTGTGACATCATTTAAGGTAATATTGTGTCATATTTCCATGTCTGATTCCTTTTTTGATCCACCACTTCTCGCCACAACACCCTCTTTAAGTAACCCTGGATTTAGTCAGAAATTGACATATATAAAGTTGAAGTGACTGCGGAAAGAGGAAAAGTCAATGTTGTTACATACCAGGAGGAAGAAGCAGATCATGATGCTCTCCAGTACATCCAGCTCCGAGTGTATGACGACTGGCCTCTGTGACATTTGAGCAAAGGAAGACAAGATCCTGCCCTCTCTGCTTTACACACCCACTCACATGGACATAGTAATCGTGTCCATGTGCGTGTGCGTGTGTGTGTGTGTGTGTGTGTGTATGTGTATGTGTCTGGATGGGTGTGCTTAATCAAACTACATCTATAACCTTCGAGCATGTCACTGTTTGCTCATGAGATTTTCTCAAGAATTGAACAATGTTTGCTTTGAATACATTGCTTTACACTTACCGATGTCCAGTGTGCACTATTTGTCATCAATCATCAATCTTTCAAAAGCACTGATCCTGTAAGTAGATACAATCTTTCCACTTTTTCTACATTTGATTCCTGTGATTCGAACACACATGAAGAGGTTTCACCACTCTTCTAACATGAAGTACTTTTAAAGTTTTTTATGAGGCTGCCCTGCAAGTTCTGGTTGTGTCTCCAAGCTTCCCAGGAAGCATCATTTTTTTTCATGCTGTCTGGAAGTCGCTAAGCACTTCATCACACTCAACAAGAAAGCTTGAAATAACCAGGAACTGTTTCATTAACTCTTAGGAACACAAGGAAACATTTTTCCTTTATTGTTAAAACAAAAAACTTACTAGAGATTCATTTAGAATTTGAGCTAGAAAACTGAGACGTTGCATTGCCAGGACAGTGTGTAGCTTTCAAAAACAGCATATTTGAGTTTTAGAAATCTTCAACAAAATTTACCCGAAGTCATACTTCATCCAATTATTACAATTTTTTATTCCTGTCATTGCTTTACAGCCCTGGATATGTTAATACTGTACAAAATTCATCATTCATCAACTACAAATCCTGTGAGGTCAGTAATAGAGGAACAAATCTCGTCCTTCAAACATGCCAAAACAGGAATGAAACAGGTGAGGATTAATAGGAAATCTCCATACGCCTTTTTACAGTTCATGGTCCCCACCTCTAAAACACACAGAACCCAACCCACAACTCATAAATCAAAGGAAAGTTTAAAACAGTGATAAGAGCCAGGAGACAAGAATGTGGAAGACAGTCGTAGCTGACAGCCTGGCATCACAAAGGCCACTCTTTGCCCCCCGGGCCGAGGTGTCAGCTATGGTGCTGCAGGTGTTGATGTATTGCAGGGGGCTGCGTCCTAGGAAGACGATGATGGAGTCTGAGTTTTCAGCTTCTCTATCTCTGGAGGCGCAGCTCTCCTCTTAACTGTGCTGGTGTGTGTTTCTTCATCGTCTGACCCGACTATCGGTGTGTCTCCCCCGTTGGCATTGGTGGTCTGGCTGTCGGAGGAGGAGTTTGAGGATGTGGAGGACATGCGGGACTTGGCGTCAAGACCCTCGAGGACGTTTCGAAAGAGTCCGTTACTAATGACTTCTTCGTTGTTGTTGTTTCCTTGAACTGTGAGTCAGATGAAAAACATTGTCAGGGATGCAATTTGGCTGTTAAATCATTTAAATCTCTGTGCTTCCGGCTTCCATACCTGGCAGCGAGGAGGTCAGCACTCCCTCTTCTCCTCCAGAGCTGAAGAAGACATCCAAAGCCTCCTGGTCAGAGATATCAATCAGCTCCATCTGGTCCAGCAAGTCCACATTCACCTCCATAGACGAGATGCTGCCAATGGGGGCTGCCAGAAGAGAGGAGGATAAGAAATTGTCTGCATCTTTATGTGAATGTGCATGTGTTCACAGAAATGGCCCCAGTCCAACTCACGTCTCTTGTAGTCTCTGATACAAAGGTGTGCTGAGGACAGGTAGACGTCCACATCATGCTGGAAGACCTCCTCGAAGAAACGCTGCCTCTCTCTCAGCTTGAGCTGCTGCGCTGCATCCGCATCTGGGAGCCTCTGGCCTCGCTCGGTCTCCGCTGGCAAACACAACAGGAGGACAGGACATCAGATGCCAGCTCAGGTAAAGTGTTTACACCTGATACCTGGAGTCTGGAGGCCAGAGATCATGTAAGGCTGGAGTCAATTCAAACACAACACAGACTACTTTCTCTACTCTGGAGGTTGGTGTGCAAGTCAGTAAGATCACCTTGTGATGTGAGACATATTGTAGTTTGAGATACAGTCACAGGAGTCAAAGGTTGGGAGTTAGAATGGGGAGAACTTGAGCTATGAGAGACATGTGAAAGGAGGTGGATTCTTCTTTTCTGGACTGTGCTGAGAATATTGAAACAAAACATAGGAGGGAGGCTTAAAAGTTAATCACATACCTCACAATTTAAATAGGTATTATTGATATTTAAACTTTAAACAATGGCATATGTTTTCATTTTCCCACTGAACTTTTATACATGTGGATATGATTCATTCCACTGACACACAGATGCTGATTTTATCAGAATACTAATTAAACAAATTAAACCATCTAATCAAACATCCGCACTGTACCAGCATGTTGGTTGTCTAAATCAGTCCCGACCCCAGCTCAGGTCCTTCACTAAGTTAATCTTGTTCTGAGAAACCGTGCGATCTCTTTTTCCCCCCATCAGCATCATTGTAATATCGCTGAGTGCAAGTCCAATGTGTGAGTGGAGGGGTGAGCTGCAGCAGAGTGTGACTGCAGGAGGAACGAGGAGAGGGGAAAATGCTGGTCTCAGTAAATACTGACAGCGACTATGACTGCCGACTATGAAATTAGACTGAAGGAGCAATGACTGATCTCTTTGCAGTCCAGACATTATCTGTGAACATAAAGAAAAAACTTATAGAAGAATTTTAGATACAAAGGAAGCAACTGAGTTAAAGGGCATTCAGTATTTTTGAGTTCAGACACCAATATGCTTTCTTGTCGAGTGTTAGCTTAGCTTAGCACAAAGCCTGGAAACGGGGGCAGTCAATTAACCTGTGCCCTGGCTGTAGCTTCATATTCATCTTACAGATACATATGAGAGGAGCATGGGTGTGGGTTTAGTTCAGACACTGGGGGGCACATTGAGCGGGAGGTCTGGGGTTTCTCTCCGTGGAAATTGGAGCATCAAACACTTCATTTACTGCATTCTGGTCAATTGTTTGAGGCTTATCTGCATCAATTTATGGCCGAAATGTCTTTACTTATGTAAAGGAAAATACGAAATTAATTCATCAGGTGACAATTGAAAGTACAATAAATTATCATGCAGTTAGGTTCTCAAATTCAAATGTCCCACGCTGTCAACAAACCACAGGCTGCCATTCTTTTGACGGGAGCGTGTCTATGTTCCCACAGCCCTATGTTAAGAAATATGGGACCATAGGGTTTCCTTTTGAGAAAAATCTTAGGCCTTGTCCACATTAACCTGGGTAAATATAAAAATGCACATTCACAATGAAAACGATCTCCATCCACACTAATCGTTTTCAGAACGCTTTGCATCCACGTTCCATGGCGTCTTCACATTTATCTCACCTCAGCGATCATTTTTGTAAAGCATCGTTTTGAGTTACGAAATCACCGTTCTAATGTGGACGGAAGGTCTAACCAGATAAATATTACCCGGGTTAGTGTGGACATGGGCTTATGGGAACATATAAGACTGTGGGAAAATAGGGCCTAATTTTCAAAACATTCTTAGAAATGTGGGAACATAGGGCTGACCCCCTTTTGACTGTCTTTGGACAGCTACTGCACAGCTAACATTGCTGTCTGTCAGCTTGTCTGCTGATATCTTAGCTAGCTAGCAAGCTTTTATGGGCAGGTGACACTAGTTTAAGTATATTTTGCACACTAGCAAACAAAGGAAACTTGAAAAACATTACCTAATGTTTCATAATGTACTCGGCTGTGAGACTTTTTTGAGAGAAAAAAGTCCTAATATTGGACTTCCTCCTCCTTTTCCCCTCTGGCCCCTCCATGGTTATCAACCTGCACATGGAGCCAATGGACAGGAGGAGGAGATGCTGCACCGCTGCTGACTGAAATCACAACACAACAAATCTACACCTATGGAGAGTGGTAAACATCTTATCCAATGCTCAGCAAGAAAGGGAACTACTGCTGCAAATTCAGTTGATAGAAAAAGATACCTTTTATATTTGAGCAAAGTTGACTGTGAGTCACTGTCTCACTCTGCATTTCCTCCGTAGCCATATGTTGCTCAGTCATTAGAGCAATGTTTTTGTTTGAGTTTTGAGGAGCTACTGCAACCTGCAGGCAGGAATTGAGCTAATTGGATGAAGCTTTCAAGCCATGTCTAAACTGGGAACAATGTGAAGATTATCTGGCCTGTGTTGAGAGCAGCAGTCACAGCAGGTCTATAAATACACCTCTGGGTAAGAGGGAGAATAGAAAGACATCCAGCTCAGGAAGTTTACAATACCAGGAAAAGAAAGGATTCCAGGGATTCTCTTTTGTCTCTGACAAAAAAGAAGAGATTCCCGTTGGCACAGTCTCTCATAATGAACTAAATTTATAACTGCTGCAGTCGGGAAAAGACTATCATCACTGTAAGTCGAAAATAATGTGGATGTTGGCTAAAAGCATCAACAGGTTGCCTTCTTCATAGTGCTGCATCAGCGCAGTCCTTCCCCTGAGTCCCGCCTGGGGACATGTCTGTGGTGACGGCAGGACACGAGCCTGTCACTGCAGCTCTGCTCTGTCCTGTTTGACAGCCTGCCTCCTGGGCACAGGGACCTCACTGGCTCTGGGATCAGACAGACAACTTTGGACGGAAGTGAGGAAGAGGACAACTCAAACCCCAGGGCTGGAGCGGCTAACAGCACCTACAGGCATACAGTATGTGGGTGTAGATGGGGACATAGACAGGATTCCCCATAGACTGAAAACACAAACATCTACAGGCAGTGTTGGGTTCAAATGTTTGAGCTTTTAATTGATTGGATGTCACATCTGAAAGCTTATACCATCTACATCACTGGTCTTTACCAGAGACAGAAAGCAGGTGTCACTATAAGCCTTTTGCAGGTGATGTGATTAGTGATTATGCAGTGAAGGAGTTTGACTGTGCAGTCAGTGACTGAGTACAACTGCTCTTTCCTAGTTGCAGTGGCACAGTACTGTTACATGT